CTACATTAGAAAAAATTTAAAAGATTTGTATGTTGTATGTTGTTTGTGTCCCATGCGCCAACAGGCTATTTGGACCTATAGCCTAACTTTGGACCTTTATTCCCGTTGATGCCTTGTTAAGGCAAACCACACAAGGCCACAACCGCAACCAAACACAGCAAGGTAGCTAATCTGGCCATCTGTTTATAACCTTGATCATCTACCCGTTTGTATTTATTGCCCTGTTGGAGCCTTTTTTTGTGTTTCCTGGTGTTTCCTGGTTCTAAGATGTCAGCAACAACTTTGGTGAGTAGTGTAATCATAACCGATAGAAAGTATGACCAAAATTGCAAAAGTAAAATTCTGTTGTAATAAATTGTTGCTTGCCCTTAACTCTTTGTTGGACGGCACCTTGTCCTATTGTTTTGCCGCAGGACTTTGTTTGCCAGAAGTTAAATTCTATGTTCTGTTTTGTTGGTGCTGCTGAAAAAGTAAAACCTAGTGAGCTATGGGCAACTGTGAATGTCTGTCCCCTTTGGCAAGACAAGACAGAGCAGACAGACAGAGACACTGCTTTTTAACTGATGTCTGTTTCTGTCTCCTATGTCTTTCCTTCCCGAGAGGGACAAGTTTCCTCTTTTTCTGGTGAGAGACCAGGCTGCGTTCCAAACCGCATACCTTTTCTTTTTACTTTTAGTACATACTGCAGCGGCGCTTACAAAGTACGTGTTGCATACCAAACAATTAGGACATACTACTTCATTATAACATTGCGCCTTGAACTGACATCTGTCATTGAGGGTTCTGTCAATGAGCTGTTAATAAGATGTTATCAGGCTTTCATCTGTCTGTGCTCTTTCATCTGGCTGTGCACTTGAAAGCCAGAAAAGCATGCTGGTTTGCATACTGCAAAATCAGACCCGGTGCAGTATGACATCATTGTATTTTTGGCATACTGCATTTGACATACTATGTATTGGGACATACTGCACTATTTCTGGCGTAGTATGGTCACATGGGTATCACAACACACATCAGTCACGTATCAGTCTTGAGTTTGGGAACATGGATGAATTATAGACGAATCCTGCCTACGGCCATCTTGTTGCGCCGCCATTGCTGCGGTGGCAAGTCATCCCAGTGAGCTTCTATACTCTGCTGTCTGCTAACTCTATTAACTGGTGACTTTCAGTCTCTGTGCTCATGTCAAACAACACATATGACGTATGTGAATGGTGATATGAGCAAACTTGGATTTAGGTAGTTAGCTCATCATGAAGTCTCAACCTTTGTCAACAATGGTGCATGGTTCACCCTACTTATACTGCAAAAGAAAATCAGAAAACCAGCTCCTTTAAGACAACAACAGGTGTCAGCTTGGGCTGCCAAGGATATTTACCTCCACAGAAAACTCCTAGTGCAACTAAACTAAAGGCAAACATTGTCATTGTGGATTATACGTCTCGAAACTTAGGCAACCAACCTGAGATGAGTCACAGCAGAGACCAGTGGAAGAAAAGCTTAACTGCTAAAAAAAAAAGAGCCTAATTAGCTCAACAGCGATAGCGCTAACTCTGCTACCTTGTTGCTCATGTGACCCTCGCCTTGCAGGTCGTCTCTCCAATGGAAAAAACCCAGGCTTCAAATAATGCAGTTGTGTCCGGCCGGTCAGGGACGGGACAAATCTACATCCTGTGAAGAGCTACGGCCGAGGTTCAAGTGTGTGTAACGCCATGACACGAGATGCGAATGTTAATTCAAAATAACAATGGTGGATCCTGAAGAGTTATCATATATGCTGCAATAGCATTAGTTATATCAGACCTGGAGATTATTTATTGATTGAAAGAAGAGCAACAACACTGAAGGTTTTTCTCAACGCACAAGATGTTTTCGCTCTTATCCCGACTGGCATTCTTTGAAAGTGCCTGCCCTTTTCCAAACAGTTTCCAATAATGGCTTGTCAGATGGTTCTGTGTTACAAACCATCTGGTGCATCAAGGAATATGGCACAACAGGGCTTCACAAGTCTTGTTGACCACAGTTACCCCGACAAGAAACATGGTCTGTCCTCTGTGTTTTGGTCTAATGTGTCTATTTATCTATTTATCTAGAAGAGGAAGATCAGGACTTGAGAGGCCATATAACAGCGAGACCTGCCCTGCCACGATCCCACTTTACTTCAGGACCTGCTTGAGGTCCTTGTTGATGTCTGTGTGATATCTACACTGTGGCACCCTTCACCAGCAGTCTAAGATACAACAAACCATTCAATATCATGTGTAACCAGAACGTGTCAAACCTACTTTGATCAACAACTTTTCTGGGAACAACGTGAAAAATGAAACTTGTGAAAATATGTTATTATGTGGTCAATGTGATACATTGGAGGAAACCCTGGCCTCCTTTACCTATCTTTCTTTTATTTTTGGCAAATAAACTTAATGCTCTTAATGTTTTTCATCAAAACATAACATTAACATTTGGACTCATTTGTCAAAATAACACCATGGTCTTAGTCACTCTTAATCTCTCTCAGTGGGCTCTTCTCCCCTCCAGCATCTCTCGGTCTACTTTCTTTAATATGTCTGTATATGTGTGATGTTTAAATGCATATAGCCACTGAAAGAGCTTTATAGTATCCAAGTGTGAAAGCAAGTGCCTCAGTGTGTTTGTGTGCACATGCAAGAGTGGATAATTTGCACCAGAGATATTGTCATGCCAGCACCTGTTTTAGAAAAGATCAAGGTCTCTGCCGTCAGCTGAGCTTTTAGTCCTCTCAATTCCATTTGTTTAACTTTTCCCTCTCTATTCTCCTCTCCTCTCCTCTGTTTGTATACTCATTCCCTCGATATGCGTCCCTGTCCTCTTCTGTTATGTGTCTCAGCCTCTCTCTGTGCTCTGCTGTGACAGTTAACAGAGGTCACTGTTTACTCTCATTTATCAGTCAATCATCACCAGCTGCAGGGTTCCAAACACAGCTATTTTTCCATCCTCCATCTTTCTTTTACTATCGCTGTTACCAGAACAGTGACGAAGACAATGACAAATATGACGCGTTAATTCATTACACTAGGTAGGATTTTCTTTTTTTAAAGTTATTATCATTTCTGCCATTTCTCAGGCAAATGTGTGATGACTGACAAGATATTATTATTTTTTTTTGTCAGTGTGACCAGGTAATGCCGCTGGAAATAAATTATTATGTGGCAGGATAATAAATCGAGTTAAGGACTCTTAGGGATATTATTTTGTCCATTTGGTGAATTGTTAGATACAAGGAGTGACAAGATTTTATGATTTTGTCAGTGTGATAAAATCTTTGATCTAGATAACGAAATGCTCAGCAGGGACATTAGTCTTGAATGATCTCTTATTGTGAACCTTTTTAGTTGAGCATTCTAAACGTTTTTCTAAATCTTTGTCTTGATCTTTGCTCTCCATTATCATAATAAAAAGCACGAGATCAAATTTGGATTCACTTAAGCTAAGGTAATTCATGTCCCCCTCCACTCTCATTTGCCAATCTAATGCCTGTAATTAGCATTTTTAGGAATAAATAACAGAGTGCATTTAGAATAGATTTTTTGCAAACCAGAGTTTAGAATAGGACCTGGATGTTTTCTGTGCTGTGTGGCCCATTAGGTGTTGTTTGGGTACAGTCTGTGAGAATGATTAATTCATCACTGTGCTGTCTTTAAATATAAAGGTGCCTTGACAACAGAACTCATAGTATGAGGACTTTCTTTTTGAATAAAGAATGATGAATTCACAAGCTTTCTGTTTATCCACACAACCACAAACTATTGCTTTCTGTGCAGTTGAACAACAGGATATGCTGGAGTTTAAAAAAATGAGGGAATACCATCAATGATTGACGTTATTGAAAAACTCAACTGTACATCACACAGACAACAAGAATCAAAAGCACTTTTCACTATTTTTGTTTATTATGGCAGCATAGGGATGACTTGCCTCACAGGAACAGTTGTAACTGTCTCAGCCCTAATGAAGTGGTCCACACATGTTTTCAATTCATTAACCAGAGGATTACACACAGACCATCCAGCCCATTCTCACTCGTTCCCAAGTCGTCAAATACGGCAGCTTGGTCAGTGGCCCTTCACTTCAAACGATGACACTCTAGGTGGCTGCAGTTATGGCTGGAGCAACAAAGTCTGCATAGGCATGAGGTTGGGGTGGATGGATGCTCAATAAACAGGACTTTCAACCAGGATGCTGCTGTTTGTGTCCCGTGTGAAACCAAAAGTGAAATTTATTTTAAATTAAGTTACGTAACGTTCTTAAAAAAATTACTTAACCAATGTGCGTATTTGAACCCAAACCACAATCTTTTCTTAAACATAACCAAGTACTTCTGTTGCCTGAACCTAACCAAGTTGTTTCTTGTGAGCACAGAAGTATTCTTTGAAAAGACAGTGTATGCATGTAATGAGCAAAACCAAATCCAGAACCATAAAACCCAGAACCATTGTTATGTGCCCCCTCTCTGCTTATTTGAAGCCTGCCGGAATATCATAATCTAATTGTGACTCCAATAAGACTTTTTCTCATTCTAACTAGATCATGGCCTCTGTATACCTCAGCTGCTCTTCTCTTTGAGGTTGCCAAGGTGCACGCACACACACACACACATACACACACACACACACACACACATTCAAATAGGCTAAGAGCCATGTCCTTTTTTGGCTCATAGCCCAACACTGGCCCTCGATTCCATCTCTGCTCTCCACCACCGCCTGACATCCAAGCAACACCTCCGCCTCACACTCCCCCATCCCCACCTCTTCCTCTCATCCCAGGGATGCGTCCATAAAAAGGAGTAACATTTTATTTACCCCCCCAATCCTCTCCACTACCACCACCACCACCTCTCCAGTGGCATCTGCAGGAGTATTATTATCTAATCACAGCTCTAATACCAAACAAGATCCTGGGCCTTTCTTACCGACCCATATGCCCTCCAGGCTGAGAGTGGCCATTACCCCCCCACCCACACACCAGCACACACACACCACCTCTCCCTCTCTGGCTTTCTCTCAACACGCCCCATATACATCAGTATGTCTTTAGCACTGGCCGGGCTGTACAGGCAGTGCGAGGAGAGACGGAGTATTAGTATTCAGAGCACAGGGAGCGAAAAAAGGAAAGGGAGCGAGCGAGCAACCGAGTGAGAGGGAGGGGATAGTGAAATAGAGAGGAGGAAAAAACACAAGGAGGGGGGGAAATATAAGAGAAGAACACAGGAAACGAGAAGGAAGAGACATCATATTGTCCATTTCTCTCTTTCAGTCTGCCATCCCGGTTGCGGGGCTTATTGCTCGGTGTGTCTTCGAGAGTAGAGAGAGAAGAGGGGGTGGGCAGAGAGAAAGAGGGCGGAATGCCCCTTTACAAGCGTCGCATCTGACTAAAACAGCGGAGAGGCTCGTAAATTGCACATTGGACAGAGAGAGACAGTGGTTTCTGCAACGCCAAGGTAGGACGATATTCCCTTTGTTACCACTGTAACCAGCATGCATTCGGTCTGTGATATCTATGATGTTTGCGTTCTTCGCATCATACCTCCTTTGATCCAGCATCCCGCACTGGGCTCTGCTGAATATGCCCTAAATCTAGCAGCATGTGTCTGCTTTCCATAAATATTTAATGTATATTATTTGTGCATCACCCAAGCTCTTCCATATTGCATTCTGCCATTGGTAGGTATATGTTTCGAGCATATAGAGGGATGCATGCTGTGCAGGCAGTGGCTTTCTAGCCTATACAACATATAAAGGGCTCGTATCTGTTTTCAAACTGTATCAATGGCAACTATCCTCACAGATGATGATGATTTAACTTTTTTTATTTTTCTCACGCAAACGTTATTAGATGAACAGACAGTAGGTTGCGCGTACGAGCACGCAGAAAACCCACAGAAGACAAGTTGACGTGCGTAAGACGTGCGTAATTCCCCCTCCACCCCACCCACAACCCCCTACCATCAAAGGCACAGTTGCTCACACCACAGAGGATTACATTTATGCAAATGGTCAAAAAACCCAACCACTGAGACACACTGACTCACCGACTCTGACATAGCGGTAGGTGAAAAATGAAGAGAGGACGGCCTGCTGTCTGTGTGTGTGTGTGTGTGTGTGCGTGTGTGTGTGTGTGTGTGTGTGTGTGTGTTTGTGTGTGTGTGATTACACTCCCTATCTGTAAATAGGTCCCTCTCTGCAGCTCCACTGGCTGTGCAGGAGACAGGAAGAGCAGCACCAATATCCCAGGGTTCCTGGCTGGCCACTTGCTCTGTATTTCCTGCCTCATGCTATAGACTACTCAAACACTTGCAGCTCCAACAGGCCCAGAGTGGCAGGAAGGTGTGAGCCTGAACAGCAACCTTTGATATGTGTGAATGTGGGATAGAAATAGGGAGAGATAGGATAGCATGTGAATGGGTGTTTGACTGCATGTTTATGGAGATATATGGTCTAGAGCAGATATTAAGGCCCGCTCTCTCCCACCTCATGTTACTCATTTGCTGAAAGGTGTCCAGGAGCTATTATAGGAACAACCTCAAAGCTGAGGCTCGGCAAAGCTATTACCTCTAGTCAATAGACATTAATATCCTCACGCTCAATCTTGGTCTTATACGGCGCCGTCTCTGCTCCGGCGAAACACAGTAGCGCTCCACTGGAGTAACTAAAAAGATGTGTTGTAGTAGCCCTATCTGTTTACCCCTGTGCATCAATCTGTCACAGCCGAGTGAGCAGAGAGGAGCGATGATAGCATTGTCTCAGGCAGACATTGCTGTGGCCTCGAAAGGAAGTGATGCAAAGCAAAAAGGAGGATATGCCAGTGTTGGTGGAGAGAGGTCATGACCTCTATGAATAAGGGATAGTCCTGACGAATCGCAGATGATCTAAGGGTACACGAATACATCGATTTGAGATGGTACACAACATGATACGGCCCAGCAGGGTACAGCAGAGCAGACAGCATCAAAGTCTGAAACAGAGAGGAGCGGGTTACATGGCCAAGTCACCGGTCTGTAGAGTATAACAGACTGGAAATGGCACTGTATTTAAGAAAATACTGTCAATGCAGAAATTGCTGTAAAAGTGCAGACATGGGAAGTGTGAAGTTTGCTTTAACACTCCAGCAAATTACATTAAAACAAAAAAAAATATCAATAACAAAAGCATTCAGGGAAAGGATGAGAGTTTCAATAAAAGATGACTTCCAGGTAAAAACAAAAGAAAGAGCGTGGCAGCAGATAGGAAGACTTGAAAGCAGGTTCAATGAGATCCGACTGAAATATCCTATTAGGCATATCCAATGGATTAGTCTCTTTTGTCTACAGAAGCATTATGTTCTCATACAAAAATGGGTCTGACTGTTCTCAGTTCAATTTTGCAATTATGAAGGTGTTCAGTTTCTCCCCGTAAAAATAGTTAGACATTTTACCATAAACGGTAATTCCTATTAGATGGAGAAGGTGAGACTGAAAGAGACTTTTATTAAGTGAATAAGGATAGGATCTTAAACCTGCCTGATTGTCAGGTGAACTCTGAAATTGAATACAGAAGAACCTCAAGGTACTACTACTGTTTCATTGCTGAGACTAATAATATTTATCCAGTTGTCTCTGAACTGGAAAAGCCTAAATTGCACGCAGTTTGTTCAATATAAATACACACAGATTTTGACTAGAAAATGAAATCCCAAATGATGATATGGGGTTGCAATAGATCACAGGTTTGTGGTAAGCATCTGAATGTCTTCTCCTTCTTATTCAGCAGACGGCAGCGATTCAAATGCCTTATCACTGTAATTCCCAAACCCAGCTGAGGTGTGTGATTCATCCCTCAGAGACAGATTGCACATACAGATTTCAGATTCCAGTCACACTCTCTAACATGATCCTTGTTACTGAAAAACCTGGCCCCTGGGTTTTATCAAATTCACATTGGCCCTGCTCGAGGATTATTTGTGTTGTAGTTTAGCTGTTTTCGGTGGAATTTTCTGAGTAATGGAGAAAATTACTGGAATCCTTGTTTGAGGAGTGCAGAGCCAAAAAATACGAAATCCAACACAACTACCCAAATAAGAGTGCATTCGATATGAGATTAATATTTTTGGTGTATGCCCCAGCAATAGGAAATGGGAATACTGTGTTGACTTGTTTTATTCCTCACATTTGGGATGTGTTTCCTCACCCAAATTTGTATTGCGGTTATTGGATTTTTCTTTCTTAGCTGCCTGTGCACCTGAAGGCGGCTCCAAATCTTTCCTTCCAGTGCAAATACAAGAATGATCCCTTCATTATAAGGGGATACAAATACAAACACCTCATCTGCTTTATGCCTATAAACTAGATTGAGGATGTAACGGCTGGACTCAGCCATTAAAAATGAGACGTTTAACTGATGCTCTTCCCCTTAGTGATTAACAACAAGGGCCAGCCAGGGGCTAAGTGTCTTACTCAAGGACACCTGTGTAGGGTTGAACTCGCAGCCTATACCCTTGAATTTGGGTTTATATCCATTGACGCTGACTGAGTGTTTAGTTCCTCATTCTGGTCCAACTGGCCTTACCCCCCAGATCTAGCTCATGATCTAATTGGCTGGCTTATCCCATGATTGGGCACTGACCTCCCCCAGTTCCCTTCCTCCTTTAGCTATGTGATTGGACAATATCTCTGTATACTGATTCTCCTTTCTCTGTAGCGTGATTAGACTGTGACCTTGCATGCCGTCCTGTCTCCTCTGCCCAATCGGACAGTGACCTTACTGGTCGACTGGTCTGTGTTGTGGTGTATTCGTTCCCTGAGAGTATTGATCCAAGGCAGAAAAGCAGTCAATGGACCGTCTGTGGGTAGGTTTAGTGTTGCTCTGTACACTACAGAAGGAATGTGCGTTTCTGGGCATGGCGCTATCTGAGTGGAACAATTCGTCAACATGTTTCTGAAGGCATATCTATCTGTGAATAACCAGCCTCTGTAAATATTTAGCTTGTTGTAAATTGCAATCCCCAAACCCTTGATTACCATTGTTGCTGTGTCACCCCTCGCCGCCAGCTTCCTATGTTTTTTTCTGCCCTTCTCTGCTCCTGTTTTTTTTCCCTCCCTCTTTATCTGTCTCGCATCCAATTTAATGTCAGCATCTCTTATATCCCACTCTCTCCACCTCCCTCTTCCTGTCTTGCTACACAATCATTCTGTCTGTCTGTCTGTCTCCTCTATTTCTTCCTTGCCCCTCCCTCCCTCCTGATGCTCTCACTGGCATTTGAGGTGGCCAGTTTTGTGCCAGACAGCCATTCCTCAGATTGAGATATCCTGGGGTTTAAAGTCACTCAGACAGATTTCCTATCTTAATGGGAGAGAGTGGTTGGGGGGGGGGGGGGGGGGGGGGGGG